CCGGCCCGGCTGCCTGCGCCTAACCGCCCGCCTACTCCTCCTCCAAGGCCCGCCAGCTTTCCGTTTGTTTTGTTTGTTTGTTTAATTTTTAGACTAAAAAGGCCATGAATAGTTTCCCCTTTTTAATCTCGGGGGGTATTTGTCATTTATACGACATTTGGTGTATTTAGCTCCCGTCCCTGGGGTAGAGCTGCACTCGCTCCGTCAGCAGCGGGATGGCTGCCCCGGGAATGACTGCCCGTGCTTTAAAGAGGCTCCTTTAATTCCTATTTTAGCAAAAAGTTGCGGTGATTGAATTTTTTAAATTTAACTTTACTTCATCCTTCTGTTCATGATAAATGAAATGGTATAAAATTACATTGCCTGCTCCGGAGCTCTCTTAGCTCCAGAAGAAGGCCTGGTGCTGTTGAGGAAAGCAGAAGAGTGCATTTTACTGAAGCAAGTAGCTATGGCTTTGGTTATGCTGAAAAACGACCCTCTTCAGGAGAAGGGCTACGCTTGCATGTGTATTTTGTGTGGGCTTGCTGTTTGTAAGGGGAGGCGTTCTCGTTTAACTGCTCTTCTAAAGGACGCCTAAAGTTTTGAAAGCCTGTTGCATAATTCCTAGCAGTTAAATTTGCGTCAGGTGATGCCTGAAGGAGCCGATCTTGCAGTCACGAGTGGTTCGGGTTTTCCAGCAAGTTCAGGAGTTGCAAGACTGGGTCTTGGGATGGTCAAAATTGGAGTACAAGCCTGTCAGTGAGACACTCAGAAATGCTTCTTAACATGCTTGTTACCTTCTTGTCACATGCAAGGTGCAGTGGGACAGGAAATTGAAAATTTAAGGTGTGCAATTTAGAAACAGGACTTAAATGTGTGGCTGGCATAAGCCTTTGTTTTCTAACTGTGTGTTCTTTTTCCAGCTGTACTCTTTTCTTTTTTTTCTTTCTTTCCTTTTTTTTTTTTTCCTGGACAAAATAAAGGCAGACATGCTGAAGTACCCAGCAAGCTTGGAGAAGAAGTCCATAGAGAAAATCTGCAGTGTCTCAGCAGGGCTACTGGCCTTACTGTGGCTCAGGAAGTCCCATGTCCTTGAGTCATCTCATGGCTGGGGTATTTACGCCATTTGGTAGCCCTGGGCAACTGAGCGTGTTAGACTCTCAGGCTGTGCTTTGGGCAAGCTGTGTACACCAATCTGTTTTGGTAACAGGCATATAGGAACCTTGTTTTAAGTGAAATATAGTGAGTGAATTTGAAAGAAATTGGGAAAGGAAGACTTGTCAGAAAGGCTTTTTTCTGTTTGTGTATAGTGTGATATGTAAGTGGATTCGGTCTTCAGTTTTTTGAGGTTTAATAGGAATGATGAATGGTTCGTAGGTTCTTAGACCTCTTTATCTAAATTAGCATAGAGGAATAGAGTATTTCTTTGTGATATTTGCAATATTCTAGAGTAAAAATAGCTCCATCTGGGGAGCTATTACTATAGAATAGTTTCCCAGAGCAAAGTGGTCAATCCCTGTGTAGACAAACTGTTAGGAGAACGTTTTTGAGGCAGATCTCAAACCAGCATCTATGTGTCTCTGATTTTGTGAGTATAAGTCATCCTTTGTCATCTGCATCGCGTCCATTCCTTAGCTATCAATCAGCACTGTGTACAATGACTTGCATTCGCAAGTCTTAAGTCCTGTTTCTGCAGATGTGCACCTCATCAGCTTTACGAACTTGCGTACCCCAAGTGTTGCAGCATCTGGATCACAGAATCTGTCTTTGGGGGTGGCTGCACGCTTGAGCTCTCCCACTCAGGCCCTTAGGAAGCCGTGAGACAGTTATTCCAGCCGTGAAGCTGTGCTTATCATTCTGCATGCTTCTCTTTCTCAACACAGGCGCTTTGATTACCGTCCAAAACCTGATCCTTACTGCCAAGCTCGTTACACCTTCTGTCCCACTGGCTCTGCCATTCCAGTTATGAAAGAAGAGGATGTCATTGAAGTGTATCGATTACAGGCTCCAGTATGGGAATTCAAATATGGGGACCTACTAGGACATTTGGTAAGGTGATATTTTTGTTTAACAAAGTTATAGTGGCAAATTCAGCTGAATTCAACAGCAGGGGTCAAGAATGGGAGCTGTAGGGTTGGGATATGCTTGTGTGGAAGAGTATTGGAGCACACAAGCTAGGCTATCTATAGGAAAGATACCCAAAGAGCAGCAAGTTTCAAACAAAAGTTACAGAATTTAGCTCAGCTAAAGAAAAGAGCATGACCAGCACTGTTGGTGGGTTTGAATGGGTTCCCCCATGGAGCTGCACATTGGGAGTGTTTTGTATACACACACCATTACGTTTTGGGTGTCTCTTTTTCTGCACTAGCAGTGTATCAAGAAAATACATTTATTTGTCCCCTTATGTCAGATGAAATGCGTGCCTAGCATACGAACTTTTGTGTTAAAAACTTACATATTTGCGTGAACGTGGATATCTGTCAGGAGTGGACAGCTAGCTGGTCAGAATAGTGGATCATGGGGAGTTGGTTGCTTTTATGGTTCTTTCTTGAATGTTATGATCAGTATTGAATTAAAGTTTCCATTCATGGTGTCATGCAAATAGGAAAGAATCTCAACTTTAGTGATATTTATAGCTATAGCAGTAGGATAATTAAGCTTCAAAGCATGATCCCTAATGAATAAAGAAATACTAGTGAACATGAAATAGCAACATCAAAACCAAGCACACAGAGTCAAAAATGGAAATAGCTTCAAATATCGTTATCTCAGTTGTTAAACTAAGGTTGAATTTATGTATTTACTATACAGCTTTTAAAATAAATATTTATCTTGTTCCTTTTGTGGCTTTCATTACTAAGATCTGTTTCTGCTAACTCAGTTCTTCTCTTTATTTCTTTGATACCCCTGTGAGGTTAAGGATTCAAAAGTAAGCTTGATTATGAGCTCCCACTGAGTATCTGCCTCAGAATGTACAATGAATGGATAGACAAGCACTGAGACAGTGTGACTCTGTATCACGCACATACTTTTATCACAATCTAGTATGTTGTGCATCAATGCTACTGAACCCAGGATGTTATAGGAACCCCTTCCCCTCTGCTCACCCTGTTGCACAACAGCTCCCAAGCATCTTATCTTCTGTACAGGTCAAGATGAAGTAGTTTTTATGTTAAAGTTTTGGGGTTTTGGTTGTTTTTTTTTTTTTTTTCTTTTCCAGAAAATTATGCATGATGCTGTGGGTTTCAAGAGCTCGCTAACAGGCAAAAGCTACACAATGGAGTGGTATGAGCTCTTCCAGCTTGGGAACTGCACATTTCCACATCTCCGGCCTGGCATGGATGCACCATTCTGGTGTAACCAGGGAGCTGCCTGCTTTTATGAAGGAATAGATTATGCACACTGGAAGGAAAATGGAACTTTAGTTCTTGTGACCACAATATCAGGTAGATTTCAGATGGATAGTGCTACTATCTTAAAATATAGAGACAGCCTTGTCTTCATGTAAAGCAGTATGTTTTAATTTATGTCTTGTAGGTTATTCGCAATGTTAGTCACTGATGCTAATTTCAAACTGAAATACTGTCTTTGCACTTTCTTTAATACAGAAAGCGGTATGAGGCTGCTGCCTTTTGAACAATGCACACTGAAGAGTTGTTAAATGAGAGTCATTTGGTGTTGCTGTACAAAAACACTTGAGTCTCTTGAGTGTAAAAATAGCAAAACAGCTTATACAGAACCATTATGGACTCTTTTCACATGGCTTCACCAAAACAAAGCCTTCTATTGTGAAGTGGCAGATGACTGCTGAGATAGAAAAACTGGTGAAAATGTGCTCATTACTGAGCAAACAAATAAGGCATATTTAGAAATAGTCTCAAAAATATAAAAAATACTAATCTCTATTTCCGTCTCCCCCATTATGTGTCATAAAAACTGCAAATGTCCCCAGTAATAGGTCTCTGTCATATGTCATAGAACAAACCCAGGATTTACACCTTTAAATACGTGGATGATCCCAGAATAGCTTCCTGTATGCTGAACACTGAAATCCTAAAATAAAACAGTCATTTAAATAAACCTGGTTGATTACTGTAGTAATACAGTGAATGACTTAGGAACAAAGTCCCCTGAGGACTTGGGAGAGCTGCATTTTGTGTGACCAAAACCACTTACTCTCTGAAGTTAGCATAGTGTACAAGGCACACTGGAGAGTCAGATTACAGCTAGTGTGGTGCGGTGCTTTATGTTTGCCCGCTTCCACCTTTAGCAGCTTTGCTGGACTCAGTCTCTAGATAATCTATTCAATGCTGCTAAGAAATTCTAGGCTATTCTTTAAGCAGTGAAATAAGCGGAGCTGCTTTCCTGTGAGTTTGTAGCTCATGACTGAAGTCTTTGATGCCTGATATGGTTGGATTCTTTTGTATGAATACCGAGTTAAACATTTTCATACAGTTGTGGAACTTGCAATGCTTCCTGCCTGTGTGGATTATTTGATGCCTAAGAAGGTTGAGGTTATGCTGGTGCCTTGTGGAGGCATTGTTATGGTCCTCCTTGTCTCTCTCGCTTCCTGTTTCTGTGAAACTTTTAGGAAGGTAGCATCTCTGAGAGTTTTGAATTGTCTGAATTTGACCAGGAGTCTGAAAGTTACTGTGGAACAGAGTGAATAGGTGCAAGCACAGATGGACAGCATCATGAGCTGAACTTGCTTCCTTCAGAGCGCAGGCAAAAAGCATCCCATCTCGTGGGAGAGGGCTTTATTGGATGAAACAGCTGGACCCTCTTTGCCCTTGTGAAATCCTATGGAGCTGTTTGTCAGCAGTGTCAGAGACCACAATGAAGCATTCTCATTTTCTTTTAAAGCCCATCGGCCAGGTTAATGTTACTTAGGGGTATGTTTCTTTCGTGGAATTAGGACAGAAATATCCGAAGTCTGTTTTTTGACTGTCTATTTAAGACGTTAGGGCCAGAACTTCATATTAAGTCCGTCTCGGTCTTGTTAGGAGAGACAAATCCTTTTCAATAACATGCCTTGCAGAATACACGCTAGGAAGCTAATCTGGTAGGAATTAGAGAAGATAAAGGAGAGCTTCAAGCACATCTACAGTGTATAGTAAGTACAGTTCTTGATACAGATTTAGTGACTTGTTGTTTTATTAAACCAAATCATGGGCAATTAAAAAAGAAAATAGCCAACACTTTCACTAAACAGAATGATTGTTATGTTTACTGTGAAGCTCAAAATAAGAACAGTTATAATGGGGTAGCCTAGGAAGTGAATTTGCAGAACTTTAGTTATTCTGAGGTAGTAGCTTGCACACATGCCTTGTCTTAGAGTGTGAGATGTGTTTACTCTCTGATGAAGAGTAGACCCAGCAATCTGACCTTTGCAGCTTGTTTTGGAGGGAGATGTGTGGCATGTGATGCTCTGCATTGGTCTTGACAAATGCAACATTGCAGTGAATTCAGACTTGATGCGAGAGGCTGGTTGTTGTGTGCAGGGCAGTGTTAGTGACACAGACCTGTCTGGTGTCTGCCATGCTGAGGTAACTGCTGCCGGTCTCTTGGCTCGCAACAGTCTTGCCTGTCTTTCAGCAGCTACCAAGCACAGTTACTCTACCCACAGCAGTGACACTTGCAGCTAAAGAGAGATCATGGCTTGGAACGCCGTCACGATTGCAAGCTGTCGTCTGACTGTGTCTTCTGATGTATCGCACAAAAAGAACCTGCAAAGCTTGGCCGTGTTATGAATGTGAGGTGCTAGACGGATCTGGGTCATAGGTGGTTGTACCCTGTGCTGTGACTGAGGAAAGAGAGGGACGGAAGGGCTAGGTTGAGGTGCAGTGCTAGGACTATGGGAAAAATAAATGAAGGAAGATTAGCCCTGTGCTTCAGCTCTATTTTGGGGAGGCAGATGCATCACGTGTAAAGAGCTCCCGGAGGGATGAGCTGAGTTAGAGGTATCTTCCTCATTCCAGTTGTGAAATCACCGAAACACTCCAAACATGTATTCTAACTAAAAAAAAAATCCACAAGGTCTTTAAGTTTACTGGTCTTCACATCCCACTCATATTGTTCGGCTTAGTTCATCTGAAGAGCTGCTAAAACAGCCAGGTCTCAGTCTGAGGTTACATAGGCTTCTTTTGTAGAGAAACATGAAAACTTCAGCCCTGAATTGCTGAATTTAGTTAAAACTTGGGGAAGTGCAGAAACGCCTGTTGCACTGGTGAGCACTTTGTCAGCATCTCTTGTAGATTGTACTACCTGCCCTGTTTGTCTACATGGATAAAATGAGAAGTGTCATGGTTCTCTGACATTTGGATGTTCTGGCATAGCAGGAAATGGGGCTGAAAAAGGAATTATAGTTTAAATAACATACATGTAAATATAGTTTATTCAGTGGGGTATCACTTCTCCCTCCAGCCAAAGCCTTGTATCTTTGCATGGCTGGGTAATGTTGTGGGTAAACTTTTGCAGGGAAGGGAAGTGAACCTTGAGATAGGTGGAAAATGTTTTGAGTCATGTATTTGTAACCCTGTCTCTGTGCTTATTTTCATCTTTTACAGGAGCCATGTTTAATGAAATGGCAAAATGGGTAAAATACGACAATGAGACTGGCATTTACTATGAGACCTGGACAGTTCAAGCAAGTCCCGACAAACAATCAGTAGTATGGTTTGACTCTTACGAATGCTCTAAATTTATACTGAGAACGTACCAGAAGCTAGCTGACTTAGGAGCTGTGTTTAAGAAGATACAAACAAACTATACCAGCATAATTTTGTTCAGTGGAGAACCTATTTTTTTGGGAAATGAAACATCTATTTTTGGACCGCTAGGAAACAAGACATTGGCAGCAGCTATAAGAGACTTCTACTACCCATTCAAACCTCATCGGACAGTCGGAGAGTTTTTTGTGGATCTTTTAAAAATAATTGATCGTGTCATCTTGAATCGTCAGTTTTACCTCTTCTACAACTTGGAATACTGGTTTTTACCTATGAAGTTCCCTTATCTCAAAATAATTTATGAAGAGGTCCCTTTACCTACTGGAAGCAAAACATCCTTTGGTGGATAGTTGCTTACTGAAGAACTGAACTTGCCCTTATGCCAGAGTATCCCGAAGGATTTTGGAGCGCTACCGTGATGGTATTAAAGTGTTGTATGTTTCACTGCTAACTGTAGAAGTTGTCTTGGGAGGGCTTTGCTGGACCACGTGAAAGACTATGCCTTTTTTTCTTATTACCTGCATAAAACGTTCGTGAACACTTCAGCATTTCTGACTTGGCCAGCTTCTGTGTAACTATGGATACCTGCTGCCTTGAAGGAAGGCTGATGTGGCTCCTCTTGGCTAAACTCTGCAGTGCCCAGGGGGGTGAGTGGGAGGCAGCCCGCCTGCTCTCGTCTCAGGGGCTCTCCACGCACATGGCCATGTGGTGACAAATAGCACCTGGCCCCAACAGAGATGGGACACAAGCATTACAAGGACCTTCTGGTCTGACCAACTCAGCTAATCCATGTGTGGGAGCTAACAAACCTGAGTGCTTAGATGTGCCCAATTCTCTCAGCATGTGCCTTAGATTGGTGTTTCTGTATTTCTTTGGTTTGTACAACTGGGACCTATGAACTGTTCTCTGGTTCATGAAGTAGGTGTTCGGCGGGGTGGGAAGGGGCACCTGGATTATTAGAAGATGGCGTGGGTGGTACCTTGTCACCACTTTGGTTCCTTCATCTGCACTGTAAACACAATACAGATGGCTCTTCCTGTGTATGAGTTTTCTAGCACAGATGGAAGGCAAACAGCCTGTTTTGATGTCAACTTTGATGCATAACTGCAGTGTTATAGCAGTCTCCTCTCTTAAAGTCTACTTGAGGCTTCAATTAGGTCAGTTTCATAGAAGTCACGTTTATATTCCTTCTACATTACTTCAAAAAGCATGGAATCCTCAATGTGAAAGAAGCAATGACAGTTTGTGGGGTGTCAAAGTCACAATTAAAAATGAGGGCTTAGATTTCCCTGTAAAAAGCATTTGCAGCCTCCTCCTGGCAGTGATGCTTGCAGTAATGGTGCTGTGCCAGCTGCGGCATCCTTGGAGTCCTGTTCCAGGCTATGCCTAGAGCTGCTTGGCAACTAGTTCCCTTTAAACACAACCGACCAAAGCCAAGGGAACACCGGCTTTCTGGAGAGCAGTGAGGTGCCTGTATGCAAAAAATGCACCTGCAGCAGCATAATCATCTCTAAGTGTACACTACTCACTTTGGTTTTTTAAACCGTTTGCAGAATGAGTTTAACCTCCTGCAGAGGTTATTGCTGCATCATGGCTAAGTAGTTAGTGACACAGGAACCCAACTCTGCAGTTTCATTTGGCTTGAGCCAAGTTAATAGCCCACTGTAGCCAAAGAGGGGAGTACACAGTGCGAGTACACAGTGATTTGATTCAAATCGTAAGAATGGCAGAAAATTAACCTTGTATTAAAAAGTCACTAAAATTAATTACTTGAATTGCATTATCATGCGATGGGATGAGCATGAGAGCTAGTGTGAGAGGAATGAGGTGATGAGAGCTCCTCTGTTCTGCAGGGGAAAGCTGCTAATTAGTTCCACTGCTATGTGAAACTTCATCTTCTACCTCAACTTGAAAGACTTTACTCTTTGGAGCCAAAGTCACAAGCCCTTGCTTTAACCTGCTGAGCTTCAGATTCTTTAGATTACCCACCAAGAAGGTAATCCAGGAGGCACTAGGGAAGATAAAGGGATGCAGCAAGCCTGTCTACAGAAAGTACGTTCTTGTTGATGCAGGTTTTTATGACTTTGAAACCCTCAACATATTGTTGAACCCACGTTTATCTTCTCAGGAAAAAGCATCTACCTCAAAACCAGTGTCTGAAGCTCTGAAGGGGAAATAGGATCATGAAACCAAGTCAGTAGAAGCTCCAAAAGCTGCTTCTCTAGCATTTGCTAAAAAGCTTGTAGCATCGATGCAGCTAGAGAGACCTTTCAGAGCCTGAAGCGGATGCCATGGTGGGGTAGGTCATGCTGCCTCATAGTAGAGCAGCGATCTCTGCTCAGCCTGACAGTGCTGTTCGTTCACTGTACAGTACTTCCTTGTCTTCATACGGGACCTAGGGAGCCTACACACCAAAGTCATTATTTTCTCCTAATAATTGGAATATTGTGTGATGCATAGGAGAGCCTTACACAACTGGAAATGCCAAATCCTGAAATATACAGGTAACGGTAGCTGAATCCCACATGTCAAAGCTGCCTTGTGCAGCTCCTAACAATGAAAAAGATGGGTGTTGTGGACCAATAATATCTAGAGAGATTATACAACAACTTTACATAGCTGACTGGTTGCAGAGATAAAAACCTTCATGATTTTTGAAGAACTTGGTCAAAAATAGTGGATGTCTATGAAAGAAGTAATCACTTTTCATGTCTGTGGTCAAACATCACTTAATGGTTCTATAAGTACAAGTTTATAATATCCTGGGCTTTTTGTGCCTAAATAACAGCCCTTCTCATGTTTCCTATTTCATCTTTACAATCCAGCATGATCTAGCATGTTTTACTCTAACCCTAATACTCTGGATGGTACAGGGAGTTGCTGCAAGGAGGAACGGTTAACATCCTAGCATGTATTAGTTGCAAGTTAGAGGACAGTAGATTTCTGGCAACAAAAAAAGATGAAGACAACTGGACAGTTATTTGTCAAGGACACTGCATCCCTTCCAGGCAGCAGCAGAAAGAAGCAGCTATTTGAGACAGAATCTGTGAGTGTGTTCAGCAGTAGGTCACTCTGACGATCATTTGACAATTCCTTTATGCAGCCATGTGTGTATGCAAGGCTGGTTCGCACAGAACTCTGTCGTCAGTTTAAAGGTACTGATTATCAGCATAGGAGTTGCCCTTTTTTTAACATACATGAATTCCTTCTGAGGCCGGTATTTATTCCTTCTGGGCACAAGTGTTGGAGAGAAAGGCCCTCACTTTGCTTCTCTCAGTTTGGGAGTTTTTGTTCAGAACCTTAAAAGCCAACAGGCAGGTGGAAATAAACTCCAATTCTGGAAGAGGTGCAGTTCTTGAAGTTGACCAATTATTGCACTGAAAATAGTTTCACTAGCATTTAGACTGAAGTTAGCGAGTGCAGTGCTCTCTCGTAGGCACAATCCAGAATCCTTGAGTTAGGCCTATAGATCCAAAATAACACTGAGGTGATGTGTAGGCTACTTCTGTGAAGTTTAGACAAGCTCAGAATAGATCGATAAAGATGACACTTCTGTCACTTAAAAAGCAAGTGTTTGTGATGCCTAACAGCTGCTGCACACCTGATGAGCTGTTGTTGTTTGTGCCTACCTATTTAGCTCAAGTATT